GAGGTCAACCTACGGAACACTCACCCACGAAACCGTTGATGTTGACACCTTGCCCATAATTGACTCTCATGGCCGGACAAACCATCTCGTTTATGAACTTGTGGGAGAAGCCAGCTTTCTGCAGGGCTTCATCGATGGTTTCGTTCAGCATGTGGGTGAGGTCGTTCCCTCCGAGGGCGTGCAGCAGGCGCTCGTTGCTGCTGAAGGCGTAGTCGTGCGTCTGGTAGCGATAGATCCTTTAATCAGAGACAAGAAATGGGTGCTCGGTCGCTGCCAAAAGACCTTTGTTGCCCTCAGAGGCTGCGGGGGGATCTCGGAGCCCTTCATGGGAGCAGCAGGACTCGTCCTTCCAGCCAAGCCCCAGCCTATGCGACACGTCCCTGTGATATCCTGGACCTTCATTCTTCATCTACTGATCGCTCCTAACGAAAGCACTCCGTGCACAGTCACAAACTTAAGTCTCTCATCGCTGATCTCGACCTTTTCCCTTAGAAAAATGATTGGCAATGGAGAGAGGGCAACCTTCTCCTTTCTCAGTGGCGATGGGATGATTTCCCTGATTTTTACAACTCGGCAGCAGGTTTCGCACCTTGTCCCGCAGCCTCTTTTCCCACCTTTTCCCTAGCCGGGACCCGACGTACCGCATGAACTTGTCCAGGATGTCCTCCACCCACATGGACATTCGCAGGGGGTTGAGCCCGTAGCGCCAGAGGAGCTTGAGGAGGTTGACGATGTACCAGCTGCTCTCCTCGAACACGAACTCCTCCCCGTTATAAATGCCCGCCAGGCTGCCGTGCGCCGGGGCAACCGACAGGCCTCGAGGAACGGGGTGAAAAAACCGTAATTTAATGAAAGGTAGAGCTGTATTACGCCCCGATCCCAACTTCCCGAGGCAACCCAGCTTCGTGTTGATAAGGGTGAGCAACGCAAGGCTGGATCCCGTGGAAAGGGGAATTAGTTCTTGACCAGGAGCCAGGTAGTTACTTGTGGTGACTTTTGGACCTTTATGGTGGGAGTTTGGACTTGATGATCTTAGAGGTCTCTTCC